CTCATTTTCCACACCTGTAGAGTATTTCTAAAGAGATATTCCATTAAGCACGCTACAATATATCACTATCTCTGATATCCTTGAAGACGACCATCCATTGTACTTCGGTGAAACCCTCAGGCCATTCTCGAGAAAGAAAATCTTTCAAGGAAAAAAACCCTTTGAGAAACACTTGACGCGCCCTCTCGATATGTTTGAAATGATTGAGGATCTAAACTAGCAACAGTGGTGCACACCCTATAAAGTGCCCTTCCCCCTCTCATCTGTAAGAGTTTAGAGAATGGAACTTCTTGGCTAAAATAGTTGGAACGGGATCCACATGCATGTCCAGTATTTTGAACAAATCAATGACTGACACATCAACATGCTCCAGGAGCTTTAGAAATATGACTAACCCATAAATACCCAGGAAAACAGGTCCATCTTCTTTCCCTTATCAGGATGACGATCAATTAGCTCTCGAAGAGTAGTCCAGGTGATGCATTCACTATATTCTTTCTTCTTAATGCTTCTTATGACCCATTCTTCGCTCATTCCAGTCATCAAAAGTAGTTTCTTTTTGAGACATTGAGTGTTTGGCTGTTCGGTGTACACCCTGTCCACTTAGAATCTCAAACAACGAATCAAGGCTTGATACTCCTCTATGGTAGGTGTCAAATCCACTCGGTCAAAAGTAAAACAACTATAGGCGGGATTCCAGAATTGTGCGAGAGCTCTAAAATATTTTGATCAATAGGGACATCTAGGAGATAGGAGATGTCATCATACAATTAGTAGAACAACTGTTTATCGACTACTTCCCATCTTCCCCAAATCTCCTTCAACTCGCTCAGATCGTTTTGACATACATTGATGTGTGTATAACCAATCAAATCTGAAACATACACAGGCTGTAAGCTATCTCCATTGGTGAGTTAGGACTGCTCGGACCATCTCAGAACATTTGCATTATCTTCTACCTCTTTTTGGACCATTGTTCAATATTACTAGCCTTATATATAGACATCGATCATGGATCAAAACCATGGAATGAATAGTGCAATGCAAAAATGAAAACAAAACAAAATAAAAAGGTAAAAGAAAATTAGTTAGTAATCATAAAGAAATCAATCTGGCATAATATAGTTTGTCAATAAAACCTATCCTCACATGTTGGCTACCCAATCATGCTTTGTTGATCATAAAAATCCTAACCTCATGCAATCTAGCTCGCATGCTTATTCGGAAAAATAAACCTAGCCCATGATCTCTAGTTCTCATACATTTATTCGAAAAGAAAAATTATACTACAAAAATTAAAAGACTCGAAAGAGCTTTTCCTTATGTACTCTCGTCACAGGATTCTTAAGGTTTGGGTTAGGTTCTACCTAGGTTAGGGTTCTAGGTTCACTATATGTTGGGTTCGGCTCTAAAGTAAAAGGTTCTCGATTTATCGTTGTCAGTGCCCCCTTGGGGTGCCAGACCCTCAATCCTGACCCATCATAGGCTTTAGGGGTGAGTTAAATTTGATGGAACACACCTCCTTATGTCCATATGGAGGTGAAAACTATCACAAGGACCATAAGGCGTGAGCCCCAGAAGCAACCCACTATCTCATACGGAACTGAAAACTACACAAGGGAGTAGTTTCTCACTCCTACTTAAATTGGACGAGCGGGGTTTTAACTATGTTATGATAATGCAAGTGAACAGTGTGTGAGGAAAAGCGAAAAAACACACAATCACACAACACACAAAACTAATTTCTTAATTCCCTTTAAGACACATTTAATCTGAAAACATTAGCAAACAAACTAGTCCAACTATTTAGTGGTTAATTAAATTGCAAACAAAATAATATTTAAACCAAACAAGGGATCAAAAACTAAATTAGAACAAACTTGTAATTTTCATTGCAAAGACAATTATTTAATTGACTAACGACCTGACTCTCTAAAAAAAGTTCCCAGTAGAGTCGCCAAGCTATCGAAATGATTTCTTAAAAACAGATTTAATTTTTAAATAAGTGTAATTTTTTATAAAAATATTATCTCGATTAATTTGGTTATTTCCTTTTTAAAGTTTAAAAAAAGGTTCAATGAGTCACCACCAATATTTGATTAGGGTGTGATTGGGCACCCAAAATGTTTTGCTATTTTAATAAAATTTAATTTAAAATTTATTAAAACAACATTTTAAGGCATGCATACCAAAAATTGAGTTCAGGAGTCGATTACGCATGGGGAAGGATTAGCACCCCCACAACACCGTAGATCGATACCTAGTCGATTAATTAGTTGTATTTGCAATAAATCTTAAAAGTTTAAATTTAATTTAATTTATGATCCCTTCAAACAATATTCTTTGAATTTTATAAAGAAAAATAATAATATTTAATTATTTCCCATAGAGAAGAAATAACCTCTCATTCCTTAAGGCAGTCAATTCCTACTCCAATCGAAATAAATAAATATTACAATTACATTCTAAAGTTCATTATTAACTCTACTTTATGAATGATAATAAAAAAATTAAATTAAAAATTATCAATCCTTTTAGAAATAAGAAGTATATTCGATTATTTAAAGATGTCGTAATCAGACCTTTTATAAGTTCTAACGATATTTTCTTGAAGAATTTAAATAGACGAACATTTCTTTTTCTCTCATTCCTAAATTTTAGGTGTAATCAAATTTTAGGGTTTCACCTGACGGGATACACTTTCATTTTAAAATTTTTGGAAGTAACTTTCTTATATGTTAAGACAACTACACCACGACGACCTTAAAATGAAAGGGTCTTCCCCTTAGTCCAATTAGTAATGCTTACGAAGGTATCATACATATCATCCCAAAATTATGTCATATGTTCCATAAATTGTCGACTTACATGCATATTAAAGTGATTAGTAATATCTTTATTTAGACTAAGCAAAATATATGTGCGCATATCATAACATTTTGGGTACAAAAATGAAATAACAAAAAATAAATAGGTTTAATGAGCATGTGACTAAATTTAAAAAGAGCAAGCCTAAGGACTTAATCAGTAGGTTAAACAAACATAGGTCATAAAGTAGGAAGAGTCATATATTCCAGGTACCACAATTATAATAAACCATAAGCATGCGTGGGACTAAAATGAAAGTTCTGGAAATAACATGCCAAATGCATGAACAATGCGAAATATAAGCAAAGATATAGTAGGGACTGAAATAAAAATCAGAAAAATTACATGCCAAATGTAAAATTATGCATAAACTAAACACAAAGCCTAAGGACTAAAATGGTGCACGTGCAAAATTTGGAGATAAAAAATTAAAAACTTTAAAAGTCACGAAGTAGGACTAAAATGCATTAAAATAAAATAGGCGGAGCCCTATATCAAATAACTCACGCGTTGAGAGACTGGCTGCCCTAGCCCCTAAATGTTGCCATTTTGGCAGCGATATATATATGGTATTTTGGGTAAAAACTAAACCCTAGCTCATTTATGTTACAATTTTTTTTCCAAACATCCCTCTCTCCCTGTCATTTTTCTCTAACTCTCTCAACCCCTTTATTTTTTTTCTTTCTTCTCCCTTCACTCTTTATTTCTTTCACTTTTCTTCCTCGATCAAGGGTCACCGCCAAACGAACGACCACCACCAAGTGACCCCGATGAGGGGTTAAACAAACCTCAACTGAACCCCTCTCCAAAAAACCCCTAATAACTTTCGACAAATCGAGCGGCTTCCACGGCCTTCTACCACCCACTAGGCTCTGATGGGAGTCGAGAAGTTTCGATCCCACTTCTCAAGAAACCGAAACCCACCCCAAGGCTTAAACCCCCATGAATATGACCTCATAACCCTGAACCCAACCAAAAAAGGACAAAAGATGAAGGGTTTACCTTTGACTCGATGGGGTTTTGCTTCCAAACGATGGCGAAGGGACCTTTCAGACCGAAAAGGTAAGAACTTTTCGTTTTGGGATTTGTTTTCTTTCTTTTGGGTACTAGGCTCTCCACTCATAAAAGAGGCTCTCTTTTCTTTTTGGCTTCGTGTTTTTAGAGAAAAATCCCCCTTCTTTTTTATTGTTGATTTTTCTTTTTATTTTGGCTTTGCATGCGAATGATCTTGCTGGTTTGGCTGATCTAAGGTCCTGAAATGCCCCTTCGTTCTTTGTTTTAGTTATGCATCGAGGAGGCTCTGCCTTCTGCCACTACCATGGCAGAGGGAATGTAGCAGGGGACATACAACTACTGTAGGCGCGGAGGGTACCAGGCGTGGGCACTTGAGGCTGCTTGGACGATGTGCGTGCATCTCACTCGTGAGATCCAGGGCGTCCTCGAGTGAAGCTAGGTCGTTGGATCACTGACTGGATCCTACAGTTAACATCATGCGACGACGACAGTAGATGATCTTAGGATTAACAAACCCTAAATCAACCCCTGATCTAGATCGTTGATAGTGTCCAGATATCACAGATGTGAGTATGACGCTGGACAAATGAGGGAAACTAGAGTTTCCTCCAAACCCTAGCTGGCACTTGGGTTATTGCTTAGGGCCTTCAGCCGGTTGGTATTGGGAATGTTAAACCAGTCTTTCGGGCTTTGACTTCTATTTGGGCTTGTAAAATGAAATTCAAAAAATTTGTGCTATTTTAAATCCCATCAATATTTATGTATATATATTTAATTTAATTACTTATAATATATTTATACGTGTGTATATATATATATATATACACGCAAAAATAATTATTAATAAGTATCCCATACATAATTTTAAACACACTCATATATATATAATATAATTAATAATGATATAATATAATATATAAACCTAAACGAAACGCAAATGAAACCCCATACAAAATGAGTCTTTACAGGTTGTGAGTACATTTTAAGAAAGTATAATAAATACTAAGGTAATTGAATTGAACATGTGATGTGTTGTCCGTATTTAGTGCATTAAACATTTATCTTATTTTTTAAAATCATAAGAGGTAGATCGCTACATCAATACACAGCGAGAGAGGATCAAAGCATTAGCTGCAATCCAAATTAAGTATCGGATGCAATCGCTTCAAACAAACACTTGACAGACCAATTGAAAAGCATTTACAACCAATCTAAAGGTCGGTCCCAAGACCGGTTGCCAGAACCAGAGCTAGATGTAGGATAATATCCTCCCCAACCGGAGACTCTTGTAACAGTTCGGAAATGAGGTAATTGCTCTCTTTCCAAAGCAAGGTAATTATTTGGATATGAGCTTTCTGCTTCTGGTAGGTACTGTCCTGATGAACCTGATTGAGGATAGACATAGAAGCCACCACTTTGATCAGGTTGGGGGACTGCTGGGGTCATTGGAGCCATACCTCTTACACCAGGAACTACAGGAGCAGCCACACCAGGTCGATTGAAGCGCTGTTGATGAAAACGATGTTGATGTCGATGGTAGGCAAGAGATGGCCAGATTATATCATACGTATGAGCACCACTGCCTGGATAACGATGAAACATTGAAGAGACAAACGAACTCCCAGCTCTAGAACTGGACCTAAGAAGGGTAAACAATCATTTAGTGTTCCAATGGCTAACAGCATTTGCCATAAAAGAAAATCAGCCAAGTTTTTCCAATCATACTACGTATTTTGGCAACAGATTTTGATTGTCATGTTTCAATAATAACTGACAATAACATCAGATATATAACCAAACTTATCTCAGATGGCATGGCACCTTACCCGTGTTCAAAGGGAGAAGGATGCCGAAATGAGTTGGGTCTAGTTGCAGAATCAAGTTCACCATTAGAAGACCTCGGAGCTGCAGCTGGAAGAGAAGCTGAATCAGTATTGCTGATATGGCTATTGGATAAAGAGAAATTTGGAGAATGGAGACCCCAACTATGATATTAGATACTAATGGCGGGCAAAGCATAGGGAATGAATATCTCATTGTATCCCGTGAGCATGTTCCAATGGCGATTAAAGTTAGGAACATCAAAGCTATCAATATTTCTTGTAGTGGATGATGAAAGTGATCCAACATATGCAACATATGAATGAGCCACAGATGATGCAGCAGCGTGTTCAGCAAATATAGCGTGGTGTCCATATATTTTATGATCTACGTCGAGAAGGATTTCACTTTTGAGTCACATAATTATTACCTCATTGAGTCACCAGATAATAGGGATGAAGAGTATCAGTAATCGTAGGAAAACTTATATGTAATTAATGGTGATTCGACATCCCTGAAAGATAAAATAAAGCATCATGTCAGAGAGCAGCGCCGTTTTCATAAAGAAACTCCCGAACATTTTTCAGTAAACAACCAACAAGGTGCTTATAACACTGTTTCTCTCTCCTCTTACAGTTATATCAAGGCGAACAGGAGAAATGAGAGATTGACAAGCGATATTTCTTTACATTATCATTCCTTTAAATAACTTTATCTGCCAAGGAAAATGTATCTGCATAAGATTTCTCAAAGAAAAGTAGATGTAAAGCCCTTGCTTTTAAAAACCGAGGGTGTTAAAATGTAATTTGTTCCAAAGAAAGTATGGCAATAAAGCAATAAGCTATTTTCTGCAACTTAACCAGTTCAAGAGAAGATGGAATTGCCTTATTGACCTGGTCAGTCTAATTCCTCAACGTAGTTAGAGAGAAAAACTTCAACAAGAACCTACTCTGAGAGTGAAGAGGCTGTAATTATCTTGGCAGTAAAAAGCTTGAATACTAAAGAAATAAAGTCCAAGAAAAGAATAAACTAGGTAAAGAAGATGCCAATATCAAAGTAAACTATTCCAACCCGGTAGCTAACTTGTGAGTAATTTCGTTAATATATTCTTTCAGCATTAAAAATCAAAAAATTCAAGAGAACATAGTTTTAACAGTTTCACAGTCAAAGTCCCCCAAAAAATGTCAAATCAACACCATGAAAAGAGAGATATAGCTTACTCAGGTGATGAGCCAACTCTTGTGAATTCGCCAAATGGACACCACTGAGCTCTAAACTGCTGCTAAAAAAGGTACCAAGTGTTATCGCAAGGAGAAAAACATGTTGCACACATATAAAAAGTTCAGTAATGGAAATAAACAGAAAGAAGAAAATCGAACACGGTGTTTTTTGAACTTTTCTTTCTATGAAAACTGTAGCATAGAGATGACATATATCATATGTCAAGTCATAATCCATATCAAACTAAAAGACTGGTTTGGGGCAATCATTAGGCACGTGTCAAGATTTTGAAAACATAAATCACATCAAGTTAAGAAAACAGCTAATTGCATAAATTGAACAACTCTTGTTTTGGCATGATGATAAACAACAATACCAAGAGAGAGAGAACATAGGAATTCATTATATACCATTTCAGAATAAACCGGATCATAATACTCCTCATGAGTCCATTCCTCCATGGTTAGCTCAGGAAGTGATCGAGTGGAGCCGTTTGCATACAGCCACTGACCTTTTTCAACCTTCCGACAATTCGGGCATTGCATAGCCCCTTTCATATTAAATGCCGAACCGATGCAATCTGCAAGAATGAGCCGTAATCAGGAAATCATCCAAGCCAATATGACAGAATGAAGGCATATGTCGAACAAAAAGACCACATGGCTCAAAACAACACATAAAAAGATGGTTCAAGCTGAAAAGGGAAATGCATGAAGTTCACTTCATCTAAAAAGCTCCTTGCCCTTCATCACTTGGTTTACCAGACAAACTTAAGATGCATGCCTTAAAGATTACCGATCCATTTGAATGGCAAAGAATCCGTATATCAACATGACTAAGATTATCCAGCTAGACTCTTATCATAACAATTTCACTGATAACAACACAGAACTTAAAAAATAACTTTGTTCCAAAAAAAACAGAAAAATTAAGAAAAATTGAAAAATTACCGAGATGGAATTGATGGCCACAGTGAAGCTTAGCCCAGGATCTGGCGCCCGTATCAGAGACCAAATCGAGGCAAATCGAGCATGAGACTTCAGAAGCTGGGGGTACAGCAGCGTCCTCATCACGACCGTCCATCAATTGATGATAATGATCAGGATCAAGTCGAGCTGACCATATGCTTCAATAGAGAAGAGGAGAAGAACACTTTTTGAGTTTGGAAGTTTCTTTTGCTTCTTTCTTTGTTTTTTTTGGGGGTTGGCTCTGTGCTGCGTTTGGATGTGGAGAACTCTATCCGAGGTTTATGTGTCGGACCTGTCAGACTACTTGGATGGGACTTTCAACAGTTTTATACGGACTTTTGTCTTCTAATGTATTTTCTGAAGTAAAAAATAAAATGATAAAATATAAGAAATTATTATGTGATTATATGGTATTGTTTCGTTAGTTTTTAAATTATTAAAAATTATAATATAGTCTTTAAATTATATTTTTAAATTTCGATTATTAAAAATTATAAAATGATCATCTGATTATTCATATATTCCATAATCATTATTCTTTGTTAAAAAATTAATATCATTCTGAGTTATACATTAACATTTAATTAAGATATGATAAAATTTGATCTTAGAATCTCAAATAACTATACTTGAATAACCATTTTATAATATTAATAGTCAAGGAACTCACAAAATAACATTTTATAATTAAGAATCATTTTGTATCTTTTAATAAATAAATGACTTAATAAAATAATAGCATATAGTCGAGGAATCGTTTAGCCTACTTTACCCAAAATAAAAATGAGATTGTTCATTGAACCAGAGAATGGGCCCGATCCCCAAGGCCCAACAAATAGGATTGAAAACATATTCCTATCCCCAACCAGAGAGATTACGAGCAATTGCATTCCCATTAGGATCTAGGTAAAACTACCTATTTAGTCACTACCTATCATTAATTTTTATTTTAGTCAATTATTCTTTTTTAAATTACATTTGGCGTAACTTTCTATTTCAATAACCTGTTATGAAAAAATAAATATTTAATTAATTTTATTCAATTAGTAAGATGACAACTCAATTTGATTGATGACAGAAAAAATATAAAAATAATTAAAAACGTCATATCAATATTGTTGAAAAAAATTAATAGACGGATGATTAAACAAAATAAAATATGATACCGAAAAATAATAATAATCTTTAAGTGATCAAAACAAAATATGATAAGTAAATGACTAAATAGAGAGAGCTTATCCTAGGATAAATAGAGACATACTTGTATTAAATAGATTTGTTTTGAATATTCGATACTTTATTCTTTTAATAAATTCGAATAGAAAAATAGTCTAAAGAAGCATGTGTTATCATTATTATGGACTCTGATGCATGTATCATATTGTTTATGAAATGCTAGTATACTTTTCTTTTTATTTGTACTATTTTCATTTTGTTTAGCTGGAAATTTTTTCATATTCCTTGTTTAACTTTGGGAAAAAATGGTGAATTTTCTGATAGAGTAATAATTTATTGTTTGCTTCTATATATACATGCTACTTAGATAGTTTTTGGTGAATTTAGAATGAAGTCGGACTTTTTTTAGTGGATCTGTAATTAATTTCTTATAATTATGTTATTTTTACGATTTAGACTAACAATTTAATATTTAAATTAATTCTTGTGGATCTGAAATAGGCAAATAGCTTTATATGTATTAATTATTTTTTTATTAAGTTGGAGTAGGTATAAGATAATTTTCAATTATTTGATATTAAATATTTATATCCTGACATTCATGATGTTCAAATCCGAGACCTTAAAGAATAATATCAATTTCTTTATTACCGATGTTGTTTCGTTCGTCCAATTATTTTGAAATCTAAATCAACAAATTATGATCAAAATTATTTTTATTCTTTTCTTAGATTTGCATGTGCCCATAATTTTTTTCAGAGTTTTTATATGATACGAATTCTCTCAATATTTATTTAGTCTTTTTATGTTATCCAGTAAAATTTTAACATATTTATGATTTATGACAATATTATGAATGTAAAATTAAAACAGAAAAACTATATGATGTTGGTTTTCTTATTTATTTCCAAAATATTATAAGTTATTTTTTAGGATATATCAAAAATAAAAAATCGTTATTATTACTTAAAAGAACTTTTTTGTAAAAAATTATTTTAAAAAACTGAAATTTATCAAAACAAATTGTGAAAATTATAATATAAAACTCATTTTCATAAAATAAAGTCCCAAAGTAAAAAAATTATATTTTTAAAAAAGTGTGAAAAAATCACCATTAAAATGTCTTTACGTAAATAACACAAATATTTATGAAAAAGAAAAAAAAAAACTATGTTTTATCATACACTTTTAAATAATATTTTTGTGAGATTCATTAATCGAACCTAATAGTCGGCAAAATCATCCCAATATTTAGCCCAATATTGCAGAAGAAATTTTATTTAAGGAACCACAACATTTTCTATAGTGTGGGAAGACTCGTCACGATCATATGACGAGTTCCCAAAACATATATTTTAATGAATTCAGCGTGAAGTCTAATATTTAATTATATATCTTAGAACTCGTCGTTCTCACGTGATGAGTTCCACTAATACATTATTATTTTTTATTTAAAATTTTTATTTTTTATAATAATTATTTTAAAAAACCATGAAACTCATCATGTCGATGCGACGAATTTCATTTGATTTAAATAACTAGCTGTTTATAGTCATTGGGCAACATGCATAAGGAACTCTTCATATTGACTCCTATATTAGAAGCATTAACTCATATATTACATTACATTACATTAGAAACATTAACTCCTACATTACATTACAATACAGTATAAGTATTAATTTGTTACTCCAATATCTTAATCTTCATAGTCAGTTGACTTGTCGATGTTAAGTTAAATTCTTCAATCCTTCATTAATTCTCTTGTTTAACTTCTATATTATCAAATGCATCTTGAGATTTTGTTTAGTTTTGATGTGGAAGGAGTTCTGGCTTGCTTAAAATTTTTGACAAATAAGTCAATCTTATTCACTGAATTGGTAATGTATGTTTCAATCATTGTTCGAACTGCAACATCACTGTTCGGATAGTCCATTGATGAATGTTGTGGAACCAAAGAGGTTGGAAACCTGAACTATAGTAAAGAAAGTGTTGAATCTTCATTAGTTCAAACCTTGTTTGAAATTTTCGTCATCCAGTCGAATGTCTCCCTCGAAGGACATGGTGAAATCCCCTCACAATAAATTATTGTTGAAATTGTTGCCATAGAAATCTTCGAAATAGGAACTTAAATAATGAAATTGTGTCTCTCATACATGCATAACTGTATAGTACTAAAAAATGACGTTTTTCACTTAGATATCACTGAAAAGTCATGGTGAAATTATTATAATAGGATATGATCAATTATTAAATATGATCAACAAATTCATAAATGAGGTGATATATCACTGAAAATAAAAAAGAACGTTTTGAATTCAGATATCACATAAAGATCATTTTGAGGTGATATATCACTGAAAATTCATGATAAATTATTATGATAGGGTCTGATCAATTACAAGTTCAGAAATGAACTGACAAATCACTAAAAAAATGATGTTTTAAATTAACAAGTTTAGAAATAAAATGATATATCACTAAAAATTATTAAATATTTTTGTCTTCATGATTAGATATTGTCCCCCGCCCCGCCTCCCCCCTCCCAAAAAAAAATAAAAATTTGTTTTGTGATTGGATGCTACCATCATTGAAGATTTTTACCATAATTCAGTAAGATCTTGTGCTCTAGTCTCCTTGAAAGTGATGTAATTTTTGTATTTTCATTTTATTTTTAAGAGAAAATAACTCAGTGACCGAAAATGCCTTATAATATACGATTTTAACTAACTTTTTTTGGATTTGCCAAATGACCAACAAATTCGCAACGCGAACTCCAATTTCGCAACCCAGTTTCCAATTTCGCAACGCGAATATGTAAATCGCATTGCGATTTTCCAAATTCGTAACGAGAAGCAAATTTGGAAAATCGCAACGCGAATTTGTAAATCGCAACACAGAAGTCAAATTCGCAACGTGGAATTTCAATTTCACAACTAATTTCAAATTTGCAACTAGATTTTTGAATTCGCAACACGAATTTAATTTCGCAACAGGTTTTAGTTTCGTAACACAAATGTTTTGGGTATATAACAACGCAGTATCAGCAACTCATAACCTAAATCCCTAAATCACAACTCATTCCATCTCCATCTATCACTCTCTCGGCGACATCCGTTCCTATATCCAATGACATCCTTCCCCATCTCTAATTTTTTTTACATAATTTTATTTCTATATAATTTTTCAATGATTTATCTTCCAAATTATCAACTATCAACTTAATAAAGGTATGTTTTTCTTTAAGTTAGTGATGATATCTAGTTTATAGCTCATTTGTTTAGTAAATTAATTTACAATTTGTAGAATGAAATCATCTAATGTTGATCATGTTTGGATAGATTTGTGTTTTGGAGGGTCATGGGAGAATGTTCATGGTGTTTTACAATATGTGCCTTTACCCATGAATCTTCAACTAAAACAATCATTAAAAAAGTTAACTTATGAAACTTTAATGTTACGTGTTGCAAAGAAATTGAATTTAGAGCCTCTAAGTGGATTTAGGCTATCTTATCAGAGAAAAGGTAAAGTTTATTTGTTAACCGACAATGAAGATGTTGAACGATTCATTGCTTACATTAGTGTTTCGCAAGAAGATGATGTTACATTGTATGTTGTTGAACCTAGAAGTAGTGAAGTTGGGTCAGTAGCGGGTAGTAATCAACTAAGTTCTTCAACCCCAGTTTATAGTGCTCACAATGTATAACGTTGTTATCAACCTCAAAATTTAAATGTTCCACCACAATTTCATGACCAATAAAATTTTGTTTCACCACATTTCCAATACCAAACACAATATCAAACACAATCTCAAAACCCACGACCTTTTCCTAATCCAAATCCCAATCAACTTTCAGCACCAAATTATGGTTTTCGTATTGACCAGTTAGACGATTATGAGCCAACAGAAAAAATTGTGAGTACTAGTCAGTATTCAAAATTTGATCTTGGTCAATACTCGGATTTTGATGATGTGATGGAAGAAGAAACAAACCCTGCATGTAATGATTTTGATATTGGTCAATACCCGAATTTTGATGATAAAACAACCGCTG